ACATATGTATATGTGAATCGTAATCAATAAAGAAAACTTAAATTTGACTGGAAGGAAAAAAATCAGAAGGACAACCATGTCATGGAAGCCAAGTAAACGTATGGATTAATTTCAACCATGGACAAAGTGGACACTCTGTGCAAAAGATTAGAAGAAGAGATGAACATGTTTTTCTCACCTTAATCCTATTATAAAAAAGGTAAATTAAGAGATCCTGTTTGCACAAATACAACATAAACGTTAGGTTAGGTTGTACTGGTCGGCTGTCACGCCATACATAGTCCTTAATAATGCCAAGAAGTTCTGCTTAATTTGAGGTGAAGTATTCGTCATAGAGGACGTCAACGCTTTTTGCGAATTTTAAAAGTAACTTGATATCTGAGTTTGATACTTCATCTGGTTCTTTGAACTGCGAAGCTGTTAGACATTTTAAATGAGTTCTAGATGGTGCTGGACAGAGGAATAGGAGGTGTTTCAGGCAGCATGACTCGCTGCACTTTCTGCATGTATAGTCGTTATTAATACCCCACAAAATTCAACAAATTATAAAAAAAATTCAATACAAATTTGTCATCCAGCATGAAATTACTACTGTTATTACTGTTTGACTTATTTGGGCCTTGCTTCGCTAAAACTGTTTAAAATTTCATAGTAAATGTAATTCATAGCGTTATGGAGATTTCTTTGGGATTATGCGATTTGAAATTGTTAAACTTGAAATGGATTTCACCTTACTCCGTACTTAAATAAATGAGTTTCGATTTCTGTGTCACTTCTTAATTATTATATTTATAACTTATGCTTGAAACTATAAGAATATGCAACAAAAAGTGGCTAAAACAGAAGAAATTTTCAAAACATAAAATAGCAGATCAAAAATAGTTATTTCAACCATCTAAACTACTAGGGATATAACCAAGATTTAAGATTTCATATTTGTTATAATCAATTTATTAAATATTTTTCTTAATATTCTTCAAAACGCATTTTATTTATGCTTTAGTCTTTCCTACCATGCTATTGTCTAGAGTTAAATGAAGTTTGTTGCTTAAGTCTTTAGTTTTAAGTAGCCATACTGTGATGTGTGGCACGCAACAGAAATAGGTTATGGTTTTTAGAGTATATATATATGTAGATACATACATATGTTGTAAAAAGTCTATCTTTTTTTAAATCAATATCAATTTATCACTTGCATAAAGAGACGAATGGACAGTCGAACAGACTTTGATAAATTAATTAAATAAATAAAAAAACATATGAAAAGAATTATTATCGCCTGTCCAATCTTCATAACTGAAAAGACACGTTGCTACAATTTTACAAAAACAAAACGTGTCTCTCGCAACTCCTTTCTGGAAGTTTCCTAAAATTTGTGAACTTCCCATTGTCTGCCCGCCTGTCTGCCTGTCATTGCTCACATCACAGCGCTTCGGCTGGCTGCCTTTTCACTAACACACTGTCATACAAATTATTACGAAAAAAATTACGCTACATTTGTATTTGTTGTTGTATTTGCTTTCGACTATTGGCAGCTACAAAACGTGCAAAATCATTGATTGACCTCTGTGCAGACTTAACAATAATTCCCATGCCTTCCCAGTCGAGTCAAACGAAACCGAAGCAAGGCGAATCACGTCGAAGCGAAACAAAAGAAAACGAAAGTTAATAAAATGTTTGCAACGGTACAACGTAAGCGAGCAATCGCGAAACAAACAAGCATATATATACATATATATGGTATATATATATACAATATATCTAAAGATGACATTTGTTGCCAGTAGCTCAGTAACATTTTGAGTGGCATCACACTAACACAAACAACAATAGCAACATCAATATATGCAATAACCAAGTGAACGCCGTCATCGTCAGCCTCAGTCTCAGCTTCAGTCTCAGTGACCGTGTGTATGTGTGCGTCTGTGGGTAATGATTTTTTCATTAGCTGATTTTATTTTCATGTATGCCGAAAGGCGATGTTATAATGTTCGCCTGACAAGTGACAGGTGACAATATGTATGAACACATCTCTGCTTATAGACACTCATAAATATGTATGCATGTGTGTACATATGTACAAGCGGACTTTGTATGCTGTTATGAAGAAAGGAAGAATATGCTTTGAGGCATGTGTGTATTGGAATGCTGTAATGCCGAAAAGTAATGAAAATAAAACTAACAAAAAAATGTTTACTTAAAATTTATTTATAAATATTTATGTATGGCCAAAAAAGTAATTTCTATTTCAACTAGTTGCGATTTTTTTTATTCGTTTAAAAAGTTTGTCTCAGCTATCATTTGATTTGTGATATTTATACCCGAGCAATATGTATTGATTTAAGGTATTATAGATTTATGCAATTAAAAGATCATTTGAGGTTTGAAATATATTTTGAGGAAAATATAATTTTTGAAGTCCAACAGACAGCAATGACATTTTTTTAAGATGATCCATGGCTCTTTACGATTCTCACTGATTCTCGTGGACTATCCTTGATTTTCACTGGCTTTACTTCTTCTCAGGGGCTTCTATTTGCTTCCTTAGGTTCACCCCAGTTCTCACTGGCTCTCTTTGGATCTTATTGGTTGTCCCAGCTCATGGGTTGTCTGGTTTTGGCTCTTCGAGGTTCTCAATGGCTCTCCTCAGTTCTCACTGGCTTTCCTCGGATCTTATTGGTTCTCCCTGCTCAGGAGTTCTCCCTTTTTTTCATCGGCTCTCACTGATTCTCACCGATCCTTAGGAGCTCTTGTTGACTCTCTTCTCAATGACACTTTTCGATTCTCGCTGCCTCTTATAAGAGTTCAGAAACTCTCATTTAGTTTCATTGGCCTATCTGGTATTCACAGGTTCTTATTGGCTCTCGCTGGTTCTTACTGATTCTCACTGGCTCTCATCCTTTCCCGAGCGCAGCTTTCTCGCTGGTTCTTAGAAGCTCTTCTCGTTTCTCCATGATCCTCATTGGCTCTTTAGGGTTCTCACAGTATCTCTTAGACTCCCATTGGTTCTCACAGGTTCTCATTGACTCTCCTTGGTTCTCACAGGTTCTTAGGGGCTCTCTTTAGCGCTCTCTGGTTCTCACTGGCTCTCCTTGGTTCTCATTAGCTCTCACTGATTTTCACCTGCTTTGAGAGGCTCTCATTGGCTGTCTCATTGGTTCTCACTGACTTTTTTCAAATATCACTTGACTCTCCTTGGTTCTCATTGCTTCCTTTTTATATTTTTTGATTGTTCCATTTTAATTGGCAACTGTCATTTCAACATGACCTCTGAAAAGTTCTGCTCAAGCCATAGGTATGTAGATAAACAATCTAAATAAAACAAATTTGTTATGCAAATTAGGAAAAAGCCATTTTGGTCCACTTTTCCCAATATGGTGATATGTGAAGAACTGGTCTGAAGCCAGACTAATATACGCCAAATTTGGGCATACGGTACGGTAGTTTATATTTTTGAGGAAATTTGTTCTAGCTTGAGGCGTACTATAAACTGAGCTCTGCTTAGTGGAACCTTTGCGCACTTTTCTTATCTGACAGCACTACAAAATTTACATTTTTACTAAAGATTACCATTCATGCCGATTATATTCCAATTGAAAAATTCAAATTTTTAATCGAAAATATAATATCTTACAACAATAAATCAAAGAGTTGCTGAATATTGCTCGCAAAGTGTGGCGAAACCCCAGAATGCCCGTTACAGCTCCTCGATAATTCTTAGAGATTATTTTGCCCTCACAAAGACATGTAAAACTCTGTTTTGTGTTGGATTAATGTCTGCTTCTTCGATCTGGTAAGAGAGAAAAATAAAAATTTTCAAGCCGTGAGCTAACTAGGTGAATGAAGAAGCCAGTTTATCATTCATTAAATCTCCTAAAAAAGGAGGAGAGCTCTACTCGAAAACAAATCAAATCTTACATAGTTTTAACAATGTGCACTGATGAAATTTTATGATTCATTAAGAAATAGAGAATGTCGAAGACGAGTGAATTTTCAATACGAAAAAACGTACAATAAGAATTCACCATTAATTTAAATGCTTTCTGTAATTAGTGAGGCCCTAAAGTCAAGCACTATCAATATGAACGGACTTCAACTCACACATAAATCTTAGAAAAACCAAATAGTATTACTGAATGTAAGAAGAAATCTATGATTTGTCTTCAAACATTTTTTGAGGAATAACGAAATTGCACAATACGCATTGCCATTGCATGCGATCATATTATCATTGATTTTAGCGAGTTGCCTGGTAAAAGAGTTCACAAGCGCGAAGTCACAGCAGAAATAGCGACACGCACGAGGCGCTCAATCAATAAGCGGTGCCGAAAAAACAACAAGCGATAACAGCGCGCAGAAGAGTAGTCAAACAGAAATCAAAACTACGCCAAAAAGGCAGGTGCAACAACACACAAATACGACAATAACAACAAACAGCAGCGGGCAACACGGACGCTGCCACAATCACTGGTTCGTGCGATTCACTGTCACTGTCATTACCGGCGCGGCAGCAGCTTCATCGATCGCAGCGTGTGAGCACTGCGCTTTTTCATGCTTACGTCGCGTTGTTGCGCGTGCTAAAGCTGGCGATTTTGTCTGCCTGCGCACAGCCTACTATCGATTGGCTTTGGCTATTTGCGCGCCTGCCGGCAAAGCGCTCGTTATCGCGGGCGCGCACGCTCAGCCAGTCAAAGCAATATTGAAGCTTATGTAGTTATTTATTTGCCGAAGCTTCTTTCTTCTCTATCTTACCGTTATGTTGTTGGACTATGCTTCTCATGCGTTTGCGCGCCGCGCTGCAAATCAATTTTTTTTTCACAAACCGCCGCATTTGTTGTCACTGCCAATTGCTGCTTCGCGTGCTGTGTTATTGCTGCTATTGTTGTAATGACGTGCTGTTACCGGCACTGCTGACGCTGCGCTTGCGCGCTGGTTGCTTCTTCGTTCGGTTGAATTTCGCGCGACAAGTTGTTAGCCGCGTGAGGAAACACCGCGCATTCAGTTATCGACCGAACGCCATCCGAAACGGCTGCTCTAACGGAAATCCTCTGGTGTTGAAAATCGAAAATCGCTTAACAGCACACATATATATATATATACTGATAACGCGAATTTAAGCACATTAAAAACGCTACCAAATCTCGTTACAAACTAAACAGAAAATATTTCGGTGAAAAAAGCAAATAAAAACTAATAAAAAGGCAGTCAACTGCAGCCGCGCAGGAAGACCATCAAATTCCCTAAGCCAAATAGAAGCGCAAACGCGGACTAGTCCGACACGCGCACACAACAAAATACTGTTAAAATTCACGCTCAATCTGATAATCAGCGACTAACAGCACCAACGGACGGACAGACAGACGGCCAGTTGCGCTTCTCTGCGACGCCGCGCACGCCGCTCCTGCGCCTACCGCCAGCTACCTAGTACGCCAGTTGTTAGGTGCGTTTATGCATAGAAAACAACACAACAAAAGTGAAATTTTACTCAATGAATTGTCAACGAGGCAAAACAACAATAACAGCAACGGCAAAAAGTCCACTTAAACAGCGGCAATAATTTCACGCATTTGAGTGCATCAAATACATATAAATAATATACAACCAAGCATATAAACAAATAAGTAAATTTCAGCAACGAAAAAAATTAATTTTAAACTGATAGCGAGTCAAAAGGATGCACCACCAAGCGTGTGCTTGCATGTTTGTATGTATGTATGTGTGTGCATAAGTAAGTGCTAGCTCGCTTAATTGAGTGTGAAAATACATGCATAAAGCAAAACAAGTGAGAAAAAAGTGCAAAGTAAATGAAGATATTTGAAATTTGTTGAAAAAAGTCTTTACGAAGTGTAAAAGTGCGAAATTGCTTGGTAAAACAGGACAATAAAAAGCCAAGGAAACAGATAAGCGAAGGAAAATTGTTGGGATATTTGAATAGTTTATGGTAAGTGGCATTATATGACTAAATAATAAGAAAACTATAAAATAAGTACTATTACAAGTCATAAATAAATAAATATGTGATTAACCGATAAGGAGGAGCTAACATTCGTTCATCTAAAAAAATAAAAATGTTGTTGTAAATGCCTTCAAATGTATTTTCAAAAAACGAATAGTGGAATGCACCAAACATTTTTTTTTAAGTTTGGTGTTGCTATCTATTAATCTAGTACTGACTAATGCTAGTGCTGCCAGACCACAGCTGACGTTTTCTTCAGAAAGTTTTACATTTTTACCGTAAGCGCTCTAAAAACCGTTTTATTGGTGCTACGCTACTTTTGCAGTACCTTTAAAATTGTATAACGGTAAAATAATGAGCTAAAACCTTCAACTATTTAGCACAGAAAAAAATTGGTACACCTAAAAATTCAAAATTATATTTTTTAAAGTGAACCTATTACTATTTTAATGACTATGCTGCTAATCGGGGCGGAGACGAATTCAACAAACCAAAGATAATCGAAATCGGTTTAGTCGTTCTTGAATTAAAAAAATTGTATTTTTGTTCATACAGAAAACTTTGGAATTTTTCTTAAAATAGGAATCATGAAAATGCGAAAAATATCAAGCATATAACGACCGCTGTCAGACCATATTTGATGTTTCTTTTGTAATGTTTGACATGATTTATCATAAGTGCTCTAAAAACTGTTTGACTGGGGGACCGTATTACAGTGCCTTCAAAAATTAATACATTTAAAATACTACAATTAAAACTTCAGCATTTAGCTTTATTAGTAACATTGGGACATTCTTTGGCATTAGTTTGATGTGTAACTAGCTTTGTCCGATTATTTTATGGTCATTTAGCTAAAATATCGAATTTAAAGTTTTTGAAAAAATGACATTTCTAGTAGAAACAAGGACATATATTCAGAAACCTGAGCTGTTTAAGATTCTTGAATTAAAACCTGAGATTTATCTAGCTTTCTTTATCGGAGATAAGAAATTATTGATTGTCCGTTATATAATTAAAGTTGACCTATTTAGTAAGCTTTAAGTTGTGGTCAGGTAATTATAGACAATTATGTGAGATAAGCGACCAAAGAATCATGATGAAAACTTGTATAAAGGCTAAGAGGGACAACACTTGTCAAATCAGTTTGCAAGGTTGTCTTTGATACATAAGTGGCGCAATTTAAAATTTAAGGGCCAGCGGTCAAAATACAGCTATTACGCTGGCCTAAAACTTCATCCGAATTGGTACTACCTGGTGGTAGAACATCATAGGAGAAGGCTTCTTATACCTCGGAAATATCAGGTGGTGCTTTTTTTAGGGTACCGAGTATTTTAATAGGAGATAATAATTACTGAAAAGAAATAGCACTAGGGGCTTCATACATTTTTGTTGTTACTAAGTTGACTCTAGGTAAACAAATCCCTTTCTAAAAAAAAAAAAATAGTTGCGTACCTTGTGGATATTTCACAAAAAAAAAATCTTTAAGGCAGTGAACGACCTTATTAAGCGCGAAATTACATCTCCAGAGAATCTACTTTAATCTAATCTCAACTCTCTACACAACTCTTATCGCACGCACGTCCATTGATTGTCACTCAGTTGACTTGGCATACCGCCGCCAATGTGATTAACATTAGTTTCACTTAGCCACCGACCACTTTGACGACCAACTGAAAGGCAAATCAACAGATAGATGGATTGGCTGACTGATGGACAGACAGAGGGACAAACAGACGAACGGATAGATGGCCAAGCAGATGGTTTTGCCAACAACTAAGCTGAAAAGCAAAGCAAAAGCATGCAGCACAGCGTTTAGTGGGTATTTTATGCATTTTTATTGAATGGAGGAAGCGCTGGTGGACAGTGACAACCACAATATAAACTACACAGTCAACAATAATAACAGCAAGAGTAAGTAAGATTAGTAGCGGCATGTAGACAGCCCAACGCTTTAAGCATCATTAATATCGACAATAATAACAACAATCAAACAAATGGCAATTGGCAATTGCCGATGGACGTTAGACGCTAGGTGGCCACTTCAACAATAGCAGCACCAACACTAATGCCTCTTAAGTGCAGTGCAACCAATGTACTTAAGTATAGCGGGATATATGTGTGCTTTTGCGTTTAAAGGGTGTTTTTTTAGTGATGTATATAGAGCTGTTTTTCAAATGAAGCGCAAAAGCCTAAATAAATTGAGCAATATTTTTTAAGTTAGACAAGAAAAATCGTTAACTTCGGCTGCATCGAAGCGATATATGCTTCGCCGGTGCATTTCTTAGAGCATAAAAAGATATAAAAAAAAATTTTTTTTTAATGATTTCCATGCATGAACTTCATTTTGATGAGTAATATAGATGCTTTAGTAGTTCGATTAGAACAATATGTTCGGATACTAAAACACTGTTTCGGACAATAATCCATATACAATTTTATGAAGATATCTTTTCAAATAAAAAAATTTTTTTATACAAAGAACTTGATTTTTATCGGTCAGTTTGTATAGCAGCTCTATGGTATACTGCCCCCATAACAGCGATTCCGATAAATGAGTAGCTTCATAAGTAAAAAAGGACGTGTGCAAAATTTCAGATCGACATCTCAAAAACTAAGAGACTAGATCGCGTTTAAACAGACGGACATGGCTAAATCGCCTCAGCTCGAAACGCTCTATTTATCTATATATTATAGGGTCTCCGACTTGCTTCTGGGTGTTAGATGTTTCGTTCCTAAATTAATATATAAAAGAAAAGCAGAAGAATTAATATTAATGACTAATATCCAGACATATGGGACACGGGTATGCGTCTTATGAAGACTAAATAATGAACTTATCTATTGAAAGTCAAATCGTACTCCGCTTTCTTCTAATAGCCGGCCTTATTTCGCTAATAAAACTCCGAAAATTGGTTTTCAACTGAGCATTTGTTGCTGGTAACTGTTATCTGTTCACATGGCCAATTGGCAAGTATATGTTTTCATATGATTCGGTCTTCAAAAAACCGTACGAATAAAATGATGCCTTCCCACGCTGTATGGATTGATACTGACATACATAGAAGTAGGGTATAATTTTTACGTTGGGTTCAACATTCGCCCTACATTGACTCCGTCTTTAGTTTAAAAAAAAGTATAGAGTAATATTGTTTCAGACTTGATAACTACAAACTAATGCCTGGAGAATCTCTACATGATCCTTCGACTCAAAATATAGCATTTATGCCTTTCTACGTACTCGTTATACCAGAAACGTACCCCATCGCTGATTATCTGTAAAATTTCAGCACAGCATTTCGAAGTTTTTTAAACTTTGAACAGGTGCAAGCCTTTATATTTCAAACGGATGTGTTTTCTTTGACAACTGATTTGATAATTATTCTACAAAGAACTACTAACCCTGCAAAATAGCACCCTATATATGCATATGTATGAGTATTGCTCGCTGCGTTTACGTCTTCACCGCACTATCAGCACCACATAGCATTAGAGCGCAACAGCTTTAGCAACACCAACACCAACAGCCACTCCCTTTACGGTGGCGACAAGTGTTATGTGTTAGCTTCTTTCACTTAAAGTGAAGATGACATTCTTCAAATGAAATTAGCTACCGTCAGCGTTTGGTCAATTGCAGTTAACCGCTGCTGCCTATTTTATGTACTCGCACATATATGTGTGTCTGTGTGTATGTGCGTGTGTGTTTGTTTGTTTTATTATTGCTTTAAACGCTGTTATTATGGCTGAACCAACATTGCACTTGCACTTTATTTGAATTGCAGTCGTTGAAAAACTAATGTGGCTCCTATGGTTTTCCAATGCTTTTATTGATTTTTGTCATTTATTATATTTTGCTTTCAATTCAAGTAGTGTGAGCTTGTAAGTGTGTGTGTGTGTGTGTGTGATTTTTGTATTTTCCCCATCTGTTTTTGTTTTTTGTTTGCTTGTTGGTTTTTATTTAAGTTAATAGGTTTTTCAATATAAATTTTCATAGTTATTCCTTTAGACTTGCCCCTTTGCTCCGTGTTAAACGGTTCCGCTCAGCTTTTTAGATCTCTTCACTTAACAAACAATTAAAAACTTTACTTGTGTCGTTAATATTAAATTATTATTATTAATAAAAGCTATTGAAATTTCGGTTCTATAAAAATTAATGATTGTGTTGTTGTAATAAAAATTTTTTTTCTGTTGCGTTATTTTATCAATAGCCTACTTGTAAACTTGTAAGACTTATCTGTGCTTTTACTCTCTCGCTCTCTCTATTGATTATTGATATTATTGATTACAAAAATGTTTTCCATGATATCAGGGTTCGTCTTTAGGCTTTAATTTGGTTTTTCATATATTATATAACAAATAAGATTATCCAATATTGAAAGCCATATTAGTTTTTATTAAGATAATCAAAATACTTTCTTTAAATGTACTTCCGGATATATCATATACTGGTACGGAATAATAATTTTTTTGACCCAATACTGCTATATATAAAGTGCATACTGAACCAGAGAGACTCTAATCATTATTAGACATATATGGCCCTAGGCAGATATTAAGAGTTTTGATACATTTTTGATCCCCGTTAATATCCCTATTATTGAGATATTTTACACACAAATTGCATGGAGTTACCAATATCATCACATTCTATATATTGTTCAAAATCTAAGAAGCGATCGTCGAAGATGAGTTCCCACTGAGAGGGAAGTTTGGTTTCGCAATCTTTATCGGAACTAGATATGTATCTATGAATAGTACAGTAAAAAAAAAAAAAATTATGGGATTCAAAATGACGTGGTTGATGTCCGAATTCTTCCAATTTGAATGTATAAGATCAGAGGACTATTGGAATATTATGTATCGATTTCGGGACAAACGCAAAAGTCAACTTCTGAACTGAACCGAATGTAAGATTAATAGAACACCGTTCTTACCACATTTTCCGAACTGGGATTATTTCAGAAATAGATGGATTTGGTTACCACTAT